ATATATATATATACAATTGGAGAAATGGAGAATATTTAATACTATATTATTATAATATTAATATATTAAATATTATATTGTAAGAAAATTATATTATAAGATTCTCGTGAATATATGTATATACAATTGGAGAAATGGAGGAGCGTTTGTATATGTACATGTTCTTTGTTTCTTCTCATTATCTATCATCACTCACCGAGCAACGAGTCCACGTTTCTTTTCCGCAGGGGGCAAATGTGAGGGAGGTTAAGGACGGACGAGGAATTTCTTGTTATCGTGAAACGTAACATCTTCCTCGTCACCGCTTAATCGAGAACTAAACGAAAACTGTCCACGATACTCTTACTTATACGAAAATTTTAATTTTACATTTATTTGTTAATATTTATCTTTCCCAGATAAATAACTCGATCGCGCTTCATAAACTCGGTTTATTATTAATCTTCTCGAAATATGTAAAAACTGAATTCTCCACCGTTCCGACCGTCTATTTATCTATCTATTCTTAATATATATATATATATGCACCAATATCGATACTCTTAAACGCTTGAATAATACATTTGTTTGATAATCAAGCTTTTTTTACGTACATGTAAAATAAACTCTTTACATAATCCACATATACAAGCACACGTATATACGAATGACTGAATTACTTTGTCGTCGATTATCGTTGGTATAATTGCACAACGTGCAATATAACAAAAAATAACTATCTCGACCATTTTATCGCTCGTTTAATATACGTTTGAAAACGGAGATTACGACTCGTAAGACGTTCGAGGAAACGGTGACTCATCTATATAAAAATGGCCGATTGAACCTTTCTTCCATTTCGAAATACTCTTTGGAATACGAATCCAGAGAGAGAGAGAGAGAGAGAAAAAGAGAGAGTTGAAAAGAAGAAGAGAGGAGAGCTTGGTCGCAAGAAGGATCCCAGATAGGCGGATGGCGTGCTGGCTGCCCCTCGCCGGAAGTCGCGTGTCGGCGTCGACCGTGCCACCACCGTCCTACGTACCACTTTCCACCCTCCCCCACTCCACTGTTCCCCAAGCCACTCGGAGAAGCCGATTTTAGCCGCATTCCCTTGCAACCAACGCGCGAGGGACGAAGGTTGGCCAGGCCAGGGAAACGAAGAGGTAGCCAGCCTCGGTTGAATCGAATTGAGGTTAGGTTACGCGTTACCTTCGCGCGTGACGGTGATTGGTCGATCCGATCCTTCGTTCCGAGCAACGAAGGGGTGGAGGAAGGCAACCCGTTCGGCCGCCTCGCGCCAGTCCTTCCCAATCGCGGGGATGAACGCGGCCGATTAACACCTCGCCTCGATCTCGAAGCTTCGTCGATCGTATCGATCGTAACGATCGTATCGATCTCTCGGTTGGGAAAAATCGTGGAAAGGAGAGGAGAGAGAATCTCTCTTGTGAAGGCAAGTGGGGGAAAGGAAGAAGAAGTGTGGTGCGCGGCATGAGGGCGGGCGGGCAAGCGAGCGAGCGATGAGCAGTAGCGGGAACAGCAAGAGGGCGTCGGGCGGGACGAAGGACGAGAGGAAGAATGCCTCGAGCAAGGAGGAGAGCCCCGTGACGGGGAGGGGGGACGAGGGATCGGGGAGCACGGGCGGAGGAGCGAGCGCGGATGGCACGCCGCAGCCCGGGAGCAAGCCTGGATCGGCGGGGGCGAGCAGCAGGGAGGCCGTGCAGAAGCTCCTCGCGCTTGCTGCGCGCGGGGAATGGGCGCCCGTGGACCAGCTGCTCAAATCCTTGGAGAAGGCGGCCCAGAACGTCGGCGAGGATGGAGGGCCCCTTCTCCCTCTCGCAAGCGTAATGGACCCGGTCGGTCGACGATCTCTTTCTCCTCCCTCCCTCCCTCCTTTCGCTACTTCATCGGCTTCGGTTTTTAATCTTGGTGCCCCGATTTCCAGGGAACGGGGATGACGCCGTTGATGTACGCCGTGAAGGACAATCGCACGGCATTGCTCGACCGAATGATCGAATTGGGGGCGGACCTAGGCGCCAGAAATAACGCGAGTATTTCCAAGTATTTCCAAGAAATACCTATCAACTGCACCTATCAACGTCATACCGTCATCAAAGGTCAACCTTTTGCTCTCCAACGCACGGTGACTCTCCGCCACCACTGGGATCGTTAAGGCGTTAACGATATTCATTTACGTTTGATTTTTTGGAATATCGCTTCATAAATAGGTTCTTAAGCACTTTGAGTAATTATCTTATGGTAATCTTATGAGACCGAATACCGAACGCGGTGGTTTGAGTTGCTGGTTCGACGGAGAGAAACAGGCAACTGGAGTGCAAAGGGTTAATTTTTAAAAGTGTACGCGACTCGTTTGTCAATAGAAACTCGTTGAATTTTCCGTTTTCTTTTCCTCTTCGTCATCGCCGTCCTTCTTCGCGTGATCGCTCTCCCACGCACGTAGAAGAGAAATGCTTGCGATTTTTTTTTTTATACAAATTTTTAGAACAAAATTCGCATCGCGTTGCGTGGCTAGGACGCGTAACGTTGTTCGAGCTGCGTGCATCAAGTGCACGGGCTTGTATTTGCGCCGAGTTAACGATCTCCTCGGTTCGTTAATGCTTGGTTCGAGCGAAGGGGGGGAAAGAGGGTAAGTAAGATCGCGTGAAGAAGGGCCAAGGCCAAGGGATTTTCACGGGGCAACTAGGCCGGGGACGAAAAAAAATAGTTCGATTCCAAGAGGCGATTAGAGCTAGTTTCCAGATTTTTATCACGTTTGCTTATCGTTTCTTCGCGTTAGGTGGTGAAGTAACCCACGAGGGGTATCCCTCCCCCCCCCTCCCCCTCTTTCTTTTTTTGCGATCGTTAACCGTAATTCAGCGCGAGAATTTTGTATTTAAAAAAAAAAAAAAAAAAGAAAAAAATTGGACGCACCCCTTCATTAACTCTAACTAATCGCGAGGATCGAGGGGGTTTCTTCGTAGCCCCACCCAATCCAACGCGTCATTTTCGAATCGTTCGACGATAAGGCACATTCGTTTCACTATGGGCGCGGCAAAACTCGATTTATTAATCGGTTTCCTTTATATATTGCGTCATATTGACCTCGTCCAGTCGCGAAAAAAAAAAAAAAAAAGAAGAATTGTCGTTGATTTACGAGAACTGGTTTTTTTCCTCTCCCGACAGGACAATTACAATGCTCTTCACGTCGCAGCTATGTACTCGAGGGAAGACGTGGTTAAGCTACTCTTGTCGAAACGGAACGTCGATCCTTACGCTACTGGAGGAGTATGATCTGTTTTTCTTCCTTCCTCTTTTCTCGTTTCTTTTTTTTTTTTTTTTTTTTTTTTTTAGATCACGAAAAGAAGATGACGCTCTTTCGTATTCGTAATTTGAATATAGCCGAGGCAACAAACTGCTATACACTTGGTCGCGTCGAGACAGACGGGTACCGCGACCTCCATTTTGAGAGCTTTACTGGCAGCCGCCGGCCGGGACATCAGGTTGAGAGTCGATGGGGTGAGTAATTTTCCTTCTCATCATCGATGCTAGACGTTCGTGACGGCGCAGCGTCGGGGTATTTCGCCTCTCTAAAAGCGGGAGAAATTATTCTTTAACCGAAATCGTATATTTGTTTATAATGTTTTTTTTAAGATTATTTGTAAATAAGTTATTAAAAATTTAAAGAGATAGTAAAAATGCTTTTCGTAGTAAAATTTAAAATAAAATACAAAATTATTTAAAATTTCAAACTTTTCGTCAAATGTCACATGATTCGATATCGTCGTCATAATTTTGACATTGAGATAGACATGACATTTATAAGCAAATTTTTAAAAGTAAAAGTATTGAAAAAATTATGAACATTAATTATAATAACAACTGTAAACGCTACATTATTACATTTTTATATTATTATTATTATTATTATTATTATTATTGACTTGGGATCAGTTGATTTGTCTAACGAACTAATGATTAGCGAATTTTTCGTTCGCGTGATTTACTTGACTTGAAAATTTTTGAAATTTATTTATATAAAAAAAAATATCCATCTTTGAAAGATTTTCATATCTTCAAGAACGTTTTAATTCATTCATGTATATAGTTTTTAAAATTTCTCATTGTATATGAAAATTCCTATACCGATTAAACGCGAGCCACTTCATTTTGTATTCATTTGAGAAATTGAAATTTTTTCCTGAAAGTTTGAAAAAAAATTAATATATCAAACGCGCAATAATTTTATACAAAAATTTCGATCGATCATTTCGAGATTAATAACGCGTAATTAGCGACAATAATAAAAATTACCATAATTACCTCGGTAGCAGTAGTAGCAGCTAATTTTTTTTTTTTTATTTCAAAATTAAGGTTTTGCCCTTTATAACGACACGAAGAAAGAATACTAAACTGCTTTTTAAAATTGAGATTGAAAATGAAAAATTAAATAACGTATAATTTCAAAAATATCGATAATATCAAAATGAAATTTGACACGATACAAATACATACCTTAGTACACTTAATACGTAACAAAAATTGATGAGATTAAAAAAATAGAGAGATCGTAAACAATAGTTTTACTTTTCAGCAATTTGAAGATTGGCTACTTTAAAGCCACATAACTACATTAATAATTAAAAAATATGAAAAAAAATCATACCGTACGGTGGACCAAATGTTCAAATAATTATCCGTATAAAAATTTTTTCATTTTGAGAATACTCGTGAAAAGAATGGATTTTTTCCCGTTTCTAAGAGGCAAATATCCTTACTGTACAGCGCTCGTGTGTATCGGCCACGAATTCATCGAATTAACAGTTTTTCCTGCGCGATTTCTATCGCGCATCCCTCTCGATTCTCGTCTCTCGCGTGACACGAACGATGGCTCAACGACCATCGCTGCCTGGTACCGAACAGCTGTCATAATTCTCTTTCTTTCTTTCTTTCTTTCTCGCACACTACCAGCTTCCTAATATTCCTTCCTCCTCCGTCCCGTAAACGAGCAAGATTACGGCGATTTCGAGACAATTCTCGCTCACCGTATATGCATACACGGTTATTTATGGAAATCGAATTCGTTTCTTTCTCTCTTTCTCCTCCCATTGGTTGAAAATCGATCCCATCACCGATACCTTTCAACCGTCTCTTACCCGATTCGACAACGACTACTGAAAAAAAGTTGGACACGAATTGCGCGTGAATTTCAGAAAGGAAAGATACCGTTACTGTTGGCCGTGGAAGCTGGGAACCAATCGATGTGCAGGGAATTGTTGGCCCAACAGGCGCCCGATCAGCTACGCGCGACCACCGCGACCGGCGATTCGGCGCTCCATCTCGCGGCCAGAAGAAGAGACATCGACATGGTGCGGATATTGGTGGATTACGGGGCAACGGTGGACATGCAAAACGTACGAGAAGAGGGCGCTTCTCTCGCCTCGAGAGAAAAGGATACGAGTGAAAAGTGGTAACCATTTGCAGGGCGACGGACAGACAGCGTTGCACATAGCGAGCGCGGAAGGCGACGAGACCCTCGTCAAGTATTTTTACGGCGTGAGAGCGTCGGCCTCCATCACGGATCATCAGGATCGCACGCCCATGCATCTGGCGGCGGAGAACGGGCACGCTTCCATCATCGAGCTGCTCGCCGACAAATTCAAAGCGAGCATATTCGAAAGGACGAAGGACGGATCGACGTTGATGCACATAGCTTCGTTGAACGGGCACTCGGAATGCGCGACGATGCTGTTCAAGAAGGGAGTGTACTTGCACATGCCGAATAAGCGAGGGGCCAGATCTATTCACACAGCCGCCAAATACGGCCACGTCGGGATCATAAGCACTCTTTTGCAACGAGGAGAGAAGGTATTTCGCGCAAAGAAAGAACGTCCATCTTGTTCTCGACTCTCGCGACACTACCACTCCTATCTACGCGTATGTACGTGTACAGGTGGACGCGACTACCAACGACAATTACACCGCGCTTCACATAGCCGTGGAGAACGCGAAACCTGCTGTAGTGGAAACGTTGTTGGGATACGGGGCTGAGGTTCACGTTCGAGGTGGAAAGCTTCGAGAAACGCCTCTTCACATAGCTGCCAGAGTGGCGGACGGCGACAGATGCGCGCTCATGTTGCTTAAATCCGGCGCCGGCCCGAATTTGACCACCGACGACGGCCAAACGCCAGTGCACGTAGCTGCCAGCCACGGAAACTTGGCCACGTTGTTGCTGCTTCTGGAGGACGGAGGTGATCCCATGTACAAGTCGAAGGTAAACAAATGTTCCTTCCCCCTTTCCTTTCTTCCCTAAACTCTTCCCAAACATATCTCCTCCGTTTCTGGTGTCGCAGAACGGAGAAACGCCGTTGCATCTGGCCTGCAGGGGATGCAAGGCGGACGTGGTGCGACATTTGATCCGATTCGTGAAGGAGAGGAGGGGCGCGGAGACGGCGACCGCCTACGTCAACAGTTTGACGAACGAAGGTGCGAGCGGGCTGCATTACGCGGCCCAGATCGAGCCGTCGGAAGTCGGGACGGCCGGGGACGACAGAGCGGTTATTCGCGCCCTGCTCGAGGGCGGGGCGGACGTCTCGCTGCAGACGAGGCAGGCCCAGGAATCGGCGTTCCATCACTGCGCGTTGGCCGGGAACAACGAGATCCTGTCCGAGATGATAAGCGGGATGTCGGCGACCGAGGTTCAGAAGGCGTTGAACCGTCAGAGCGCGGTCGGCTGGACCCCGTTGCTGATCGCCGCCCACCGCGGCCACATGGAGCTCGTCACGACCTTGCTCGCCAACCACGCGAGAGTGGACGTGTTCGACCTCGAGGGAAGATCCGCCCTACATCTGGCAGCCGAGCACGGCTACCTTCAAGTGTGCGACGCGTTGCTCGCCAACAAAGCGTTCATAAACTCCAAGTCGAGGGTCGGGAGAACGGCGCTCCACCTTGCGGCGATGAACGGCTACTCCCACCTCGTCAAGTTCCTCGTCCAGGACCACGGGGCTGCGATAGACGTTCTCACGCTAAGGAAACAGACCCCCCTTCACTTGGCGGCGGGTGCCGGCCAGTTGGAGGTGTGCAAGCTGCTGCTCGAGCTCGGTGCGAGTATAGACGCGACCGACGACCAGGGCCAGAAACCGATTCACGCCGCGGCCATGAACAATTACGCGGAGGTAGCCCAGCTCTTCCTCCAGAGGCATCCAAGCTTGGTGATGGCATGCACCAAGGACGGGAACACGTGCGCCCATATAGCGGCGATGCAGGGCAGCGTGCGGGTGATCGAGGAGCTGATGAAATTCGACCGCCAGGGGGTGATCTCGGCGAGGAACAAGTTGACCGAGGCGACCCCCCTTCAGCTGGCGGCTGAGGGAGGGCACGCGGAGGTGGTGAGGGCGTTGGTGAGGGCAGGCGCCTCCTGCGCAGACGAGAACAGGGCCGGGTTCACCGCTGTTCACCTGGCAGCCCAACACGGCCACGGCCAGGTGTTGGAAGTGATGAGATCCTCCCAGTCCCTTCGCATATCCAGCAAGAAGCTTGGCGTTACCGCTCTTCACGTAGCCGCGTACTTTGGCCAGGCTGGTAAGTCGACCTTCCGATCTTTCTTCTTCCTTCTCTCTTCTTCTTCTTCTTCTTTTTCCTTCGCCCAGATACCGTGCGAGAATTGCTGACCCACGTGCCCGGAACGGTGAAGTCCGACCCTCCGACAGGCGGCTCTCTCGTAGGAGAATTGGGAAGCGAATCTGGAATGACGCCTCTTCACTTGGCCGCTTATTCAGGGAACGAGAACGTCGTGCGATTGCTCTTGAACTCGGCCGGTGTGCAGGTAATAAAAACGAATAGGTTAGAAAGAAGGATAGGACGTGACAGTGACACAGAAGGAAATGAAACTATGGTGTTATCTGTTAAGGTGGAGGCGGCGACCACGGAGAACGGTTTCAATCCTTTGCACTTGGCCTGTTTCGGGGGCCACATCACTGTGGTCGGTCTTCTGTTGAGCAGATCGGCCGAACTGTTGCACAGCTCCGACCGTTACGGTAAAACAGGTCTTCACATAGCGGCGACTCACGGCCACTACCAAATGGTGGAGGTGCTTCTCGGCCAGGGCGCGGAAATAAACGCGACCGATAAAAATGGATGGACGCCGTTGCATTGCGCGGCGCGGGCCGGTTACCTCGACGTTGTCAAATTGTTGGTGGAGAGCGGGGCATCTCCCAAGAGCGAAACCAATCTCGGCAGCGCGCCGATTTGGTTCGCCGCGTCCGAGGGCCACAACGACGTGCTCAAATATCTAATGGAAAAGGAGCACGATACTTACGCCTTGATGGAGGACAAAAGGGTGAGCAAGCTTCTCGTTCTTCCCTTTAATTCTCTTCCAATTCTCGTTTGAAATTGAATTTCGACGAGAAATAAATAATGAGATTATTAAAGAATTAATTTTAATATTATATGATTCAATGGCTAATTAATGAAGTGTATATACATATATATTAAAATAATTATATATATACTAATCTATATGTAAATATTTATAAAACAATAATTTTAATTATTTATTAAATATTAAATTATTATTTTTTATTGTTAAAATATTTTATATACTAACATAATTTATTATATATATTTATTAATGAATAATATAACATATAAATTAACAACCAACTAAATAACCTAAAAATTTAATTATTGTATATTTCAGTATCGCCATTTAAGACTATCTTTTAATATCTTTTCTATCTATTCAATCTTTTCAATGCCTTAGAATCTATACTTTCCTTCTGCCAAAAAATCATTGAGATTCTCCGCTTTCCCCTCTCGAACAAGACTTGATACCTTCCTTCTTTCAGTTCGTCTACAACATGATGGTGTGCAGTAAGAACAACAACAACAAACCGATCGAGGAATTCGTGCTGGTTTCCCCGGCACCGGTGGACACGGCCGCCAAGCTTTCCAACATCTACATGAAATTGTCGGAGAAGGAGAAGGAGAGGGCGAAAGACTTGATAGCCGCCGGCAAGCAATGCGAGGCGATGGCCACGGAATTGTTAGCTTTGGCCGCGGGCGCCGACTCGGCCGGGAGGATTCTCACCTCGATGGACCGTAGGAACGTCGAGTTTTTGGACGTGCTGATCGAGAACGAGCAGAAGGAGGTGATCGCGCACACGGTTGTCCAACGGTATCTCCAAGAATTGTGGCAGGGCAGTTTGAACTGGAACGCCTTCAGGACGATCCTTCTGTTCGTCGCGTTCCTCGTCTGCCCCCCTGTCTGGGTTGTGTTCGCCCTCCCCCTCGGCCACAAGTACAACAACGTCCCAATTATAAAGTTCATGTCGTATCTAACCTCTCACATATATCTGATGGTCTTCCTTTTGCTGGTCGGTATAATTCCTATATACCCTGTGGTAAGGGCGAGCCTGTTACCGTATTGGTACGAATGGTGCCTCCTCGTCATGCTGTCCGGATTATTGCTCTTCGAGCTGACCAACCCAAGCGACAAAAGTGGATTAGGCTGGATTAAACTGGCCGTGCTGCTGTTTGGAATTTGCGGGGTAGCGTTCCATCTAATGGGTTTCGTAATCGTCCACCGACCCTATTGGCCAACTTTACTTTACCTCAGGAATCAACTGTTCGCCCTGAGCTTCTTGCTCGCCTGTGTGCAGATCCTCGATTTCCTCTCGTTCCATCATCTGTTCGGCCCGTGGGCTATCATCATTGGTAACCTGATGAAGGATCTAGCGAGATTTCTCGCCGTGCTGGCCATCTTCGTGTTCGGTTTCTCGATGCACTTTGTTGCACTGAACCAAGCCTTCGAGACCCAATCGGATGGCGGAAGGCGGATTGATGACAAAAAGAAAAAAGGCGTCTTCAACGACGGTAAGTTCGACGCACGTGATTAGCCGTGCTATCTCTCTTTTTTTTTTTTTC